ATATCAGGTAGTTCTTCAGGCGCAATCAGCTTGAATCTCACATTTTCATACCATGGAGCTTGCTTATCCATGGCTATAAATTCATAAAAACATTGTACTGCTTCTCATAACTCTTCATCTTAGTATTGCGCAATAACAATTAGATCATCACACGGAATATACCTTTCACCAAAATTTTTGCTTCCGCCTTTGGTACTTTATGACCACGTTTTTCACCAGACATCCATGGATATATTTTTGGATATTTGCTTCCTAGGAGCAGATGTACTACCATGCTCGTCTTTCCAGATTCAAAAGTGCCCGCGACTAGTAGTCTAAATGGATGTTTAGGAGAGAATGGATTCTGTTTTTCAAAGGTATAATTTCATCTAATTTGCATAGTTCGTAATATTCCATAGTATTTTGAAAAGTAGGATAATTATTCAAGAAACATATTTTGTTGACCGCAATGCCAAAAAATAAATTTTCTTTGAGTAATGCAATGATGATAGCAGAATCTCATGAAGGAAAATGCCTTTCCAAAGAATATATTAACTGCGAAATTCCAATGCTTTGGGAGTGCAATAAAAATCATCAATGGAATTGTTCATTTCGATCTGTCAAAAATCGCCATTCATGGTGTCCTTATTGCACAAATAAAAAACTCGATATTTCAGTGGCCAAAGAATTAGCATGTGCTAAAAATGGAAGGTGTATTTCCGAGAATTATGTTAATAATAGCTCACCTCTCTTATGGGAATGCAAAAATAATCATCAATTTCGCCTATCTCTTTCAGATGTTAAAAATAAAGGATGTAGGTGTCGTGAGTGCATGAAACTTGGACTTGAATTCGCTCAGAATCTCGCAAATAAGAGAGGCGGAATGTGTATTTCTAGTTCTTATCATAACAGACGTACTCCACTCTCTTGGAGATGTTCTGAAGGACATTCATGGTTTGCTCGGATTGATAGTATCCAAAGAGGGACTTGGTGTCCACATTGTGTAGGTAAGTCTGAGAAACTTGACATTGAATATGCGAAAGAATTAGCACGTAGCAGAAATGGAGAGTGTTTATCCAATGTTTATATCAATTATACAACGCATTTACGCTGGAGATGTTCCAAATCACATGAATGGCTCGCTTCTATCAGTGGTATTAAAAACAAAAACTATTGGTGTCCGCATTGTGCTAGTACAAAATTTGATATTGCAATAGCCAAATCTATTGCATATAGTCGAGCCGGGGAATGCTTGACAGATTCTTATATCAATTGCAAGAGTCAGTTACTTTGGAGATGCAATAAAAACCATCAATGGTATGCTACCCTTTCTCATGTAAAAAATGATAATACATGGTGTCCATATTGCTCTAAATATAAACGTGAAAGATTGTGTCGAGAGATTATGTCAAAATATTTTGGACCGCCATCTAAGATACGTCGACCTTATTTTCTTAAAACTTTAGATCACCCAACTGGATTGGAACTTGATATTTATTACCCACAATATGGATTTGCAACCGAAGTATAAGGAGAACAACACGAAAGATATATAGAATTCTTTCATGGAGGCGATCCCAATAATTTTATCAAACAGCAAGAGCGGGATCAACTCAAGAAAGAATTATGCAAAGAGAATCGGATTGCCCTAAGGTATGTTTGGTATTACGAAGACCCATATGTAGTTATTCCAGAGCATCTTCGTGAATTGGGTCTTATTGAATAAAATTAAAACTTTAAATGCGCAATGATTATTTTTTTTTTATACCAGTATACATCTCTATTTTAATTTTCACATATTTGTAGAAATTCTTTATTGTAATAAAACATATTGAAATAAAATACAGGTCATTAAGTACTCCCAAGCATGACTAAAATTAATCCCATCACATTACAATTATTATAAATTGTTTTTTATTCACTTCCGATGCTGTTTGTCTTTCTTTTTACTACTCTGCTCCGCCTGATCTTGGGGTGCCATGGCAGTGTGTGGGGTAGAGGAAGCGGGTTGTTTTAAAAGTGATTCACGAATTTTGGTTAATGCTGTCAATACTGTTCGTCTTCCAGCTGGTTCGGCAAGATCAAAACCAGTCTTCAAACCATTGCCGATCGGCCATCTTTCAACCTCAACTTTCTGTTCTTTTGGTAGGCCATTTGCAAGCTCCATCCAATACATTGCGGGAATTATAGCCTTATAAAAAGTAACATATGTAGAGATCACTCGAATAGCCCATAATGTTTGATCTATTGGTGTTTCACCAAGACGTATGTTCTCACTACCGCAAGCGAGAATCTCCACAGCGATCTGTGATTCCCCAAAATCAGTGGCGTACCCAACATTTTTCAGGTGCTTATCCTGTAAAAAAATTGTTCGAGTCAATGAAAATAATAACTTGTTAAACAATCAATAACATACAGACCTCTACTACAAGAACAAAAATGCTTCGCTTCTTTATTACAAATTCGGGGTCTGATGATACAGTAGGTTCATCACCAATGTATATCGCGCATGGTTCGTGATTTCTAGATTGAGAGAAGCAGATTTTAGGAACGTATTATAAACCCAAATAAAATTACGTATCGCAGTTTGAAGTGAACATCATAACTAAAGAATTTCCTATTACTAACTTAATCTTTAAGGGCCAGGTATTCAATCTAGCAATGCGGAGCAGATCATCCACTAACGAGTCGGTATGAGTTTCACTTGTTCCTATCGACTGAGTTGAGTTCTCTGTGATATCGTGCAGTTTGTCAATAAACGTTAGAACATCACCATCCGAAATTCCCTCAAGCTTATCAACATCGAAATCTGGTGATCTCAGCAAATGTCTGTTAATTCCCGTGAGAACATATTCACTCGGAAAGTTGACGACTAGAAAATATTTAAATTATAAGTACCAGATTTGCTGAGAGAATCAGTGATAAATATAATATAACTCGTACCTTCAACATCGGGTATAACAACGTTCTCAGCTGAAGCTCCTCGGAAAGTTACTTTCATTGCCTCCATATCTCGTGTTTTAAACCCAGATGCCGAAGAAGGTAGGTCCTCTATACCATAACTAGAGCTGAAACTGGAACTAAGCCCAAGATCACGGATGGCTCTTGTAAGATCTGATTCTTGTCTGGCAATGCGATCTGACCGTCTTTTAGGTGCAGAAGAGCTTTCACTTTCGCTTTCATTTTTTTTTCGCTTCTGAGAGGTTATTTGTGTGGTCTGTTCCTGTGAAGTTTTTTGCGCGGTCTCTTCTGAAGAACTCTCTCTCTCACTTTCGTTTTTTCGTTTCTTTGAAGCCTTTTGTGTGATTTTTGCTAGAGAACTTTCGCTCTCACTTTCGACATTTTTTGTGGTACTTTTTAGATGACTCTCACTTCTGACGTTTTTTTGTTTCTTCTGTTTTTTTTCTTTTTTTGAAGACATTCCGTAACACAGTGTGACAAAAATAGGAAAAACGAAAAATACACAATTTTACTGGAGAAAATTTTTTTTTTCACAAGTCAGGACTCAGAGTAAGTTACGATTATATCATGCATGCGGAATTTCTATGACCTTCCGTAGTACAGCATTTTTTATGTCGATCATCACGATTTCCATCTCTCGAGTTGTCACTAGGCCGGAAGATGATCCCCTTAAGGTTTGATACTCCACTAAACCTGCAGAAGGAAATAGAGGCAAGGCAGAAGCGCAAAGAAAAAAAGTGCCTCAACTAATGAGTAGAATTTAACTTCATAGGATACTAACTTTTTTTCGTAATTATAAAAAAATTGGAATGGGAGAGCGCCAAGCCGAAAGACCGGTTATTTATATCGATCCTCAGAAAGCGCAAGACTTAGATCAGGATCTTGCTTTACAGAAACTTTATTACAGACCTGAGGGATATTATCGGACTGCTGAAAAAATGCTGGATGCTTGTAAGAAAGCCGGGTATAAGTTCACTCTATCTATGATAAAAAAATGGCTAAACCGCCAAGCTTTATATCAGATACACAAGCCACGGCCTAAATTCATTCAGTATGCCTCTTTCAATAGCATTCAAACTTTAAATAAAGCTCATCAATCTGATACTACCTCCATGCCTTATGATAAAGTAGGTAATCGTATTTACAAGCATAGGGGCGTTATCAAAGATGTTGCAACTAGGTATCGGCGTAGTTTTGCTTTGACTGACAAATCATCTGCACAAATGGCTAAAGCAATTCAAAAAATTTACAATGATCCTAATGATCCTCTTAACCCGCCTGAAGATTTTATTGTAGATAGAGGTACTGAATATATGGGCGAATGTAAAGATTTATTACTCAGTTATAATGTAAGAATTCAGTATGCTAACTCTAAACGTGGTGTAGCTATTGCTGAACGTGACCATCAAGAATTTGAAAAACATGCTTATTTTCGGCAAGATGCTGAAGATTTTCATTTGCCTTTGACTGATAGATCCAGAGCATGGGTTAAAGGACTTCGTATAAATGATGATATTTTTAATAATACTCCTACTTTGTTAATAGCTATGTCTCCTAACGAGGCTGTAAAAAAGGCATTAAAAGGTAAAAAAATAATAGCTAGACCTTTTGTCGAACATAAGAGACCAGTTGGTTATAATGAACCACTTTACCTAGCTATACTGAAGTTCGTCATCTATTAGAACCTGGTGAATTAGAAGGTGGTAGAAGAAGGGCAACTGATTGCAATTGGTCTCCCGAAGTTTTTACAATTGATTCTTATTTGATAAAAGAAAATCAACCTGTTCTCTATAAGCTTTACAATGGTCCTAGACGCTCATTTGTGAGAGAAGAACTCCAAATTGTTTGGACAGATACAGTATTACCACTCAAATATATTCTTAAGCATTAGACTTACCTCCTCTTTCTTCTACTAGATATATTATTTATTTGAAAGCATCACTTAAATAATCATCAATTTCAGCTTGATTGTAAACTATAATTTGTTTATTTCATAACCAATTACTTCTTGAACTTTTTTTGTTTTCATTTCCAGGCTTATCATCTATGAGAAATTTACCTAATGAATATAGAGCAAACTTGAATTGTCCACGCTTGTCAAATTTTTTTTCAAGTAATTCTCTGAATTGCTTTCTTAGGCTTTCTAAAAATTTTCATATATCACTTCTATTATCAGGATAAGATCTGGGAACTTTTGCACGATGTACTGCTATAGCTCTTCTTTTGAGTACCATGCTTAATTCTTCTTGCTCCCTAAATTCTAGGTCTCTTTCTTGTTCATCAATAATTTCTCCTAAACGCTCAAATTCTTTATTAATCAAATTCTTAGATTTATTACCTTTCCTAAATGATTGTGTTTTAGGTTCAAGACCACCTTCAGACTCTAATATCTTTTCATATTTCTCTAACTCTTTTAATGTTGGTAGGCGAATTGCCTCTGGATCATTTAGTTCAAGATCATGGAAAAGGGTCTTATAACCATTTAGATCATTTGCCTCATATGACTCAACACCTAGATCTAATTCTTTCCAACATTTTTGCAATCTTGCTCCCCATGTCTTAATTCACTTTCTGGGTTTACGTGCATTTGGACTGACCCAGTACTTTGCCTCCTTTTCTGTGATGTAGTTGACACCAAGTACTGGAGCTTCCTTTTCGGGTTCTAGTTCAGGAACTGAAGTTGAGATTAACACATGTGACTTCTCCTTATTGCTCATATTTACACTAGAACTTTCTACCTGTGCTTTGATTTCAGAAACTTGGATAGCCTGTTGGTTAGCTTTTTGAATAAGCACCTGAATTGGTGTTTGAATAGAAGCTACTTCCTTCTGCTTTTGTAATAGTTTGCATGGATTTTTTCGCTTAAAATGCTCACGAAGTTTTTGGGGCGTTGAGCATTCATGACCACAATGTTTACAGATTGTATCTTTTTTATCACTTCTTGATTTTCTAACCATGGTGTTAGCTCTAACCGTCACGCTATTACTTGTTTATAAAATTTTATTCTTTAATTAATTATTTCCTATTCTTTCACTTTTCGATTATAGAGTTGCCACCAAAAGCGGTATTCACAGGCTTACCAAAACAGTTCTAGCTATCTTCCTGAAACTGAAGCATTAACTATCAATTAATTATTCTTTTGATATTTAGTGTTATAAAATAGGATGATCGGTGAATATTCCTGCCCATATCTTTGCAATACTGGAAAGGCTTGTGAAAATCCTTGCATTCGTCCTGAAGAATGCCGATTTCATTGGAAATCAAAAAAACGGATACCATGTTCTGATTGTGATAAGCCAACTACTTCTACTTGTGGCTGATGCCCAGGTCATGTTAGAGGCTATTATGTTATTCAGTTTTATGATAGGCTTCGATTAGAAAGTCTTCGATCGGAGATACAAGAAAGACTTTGATCAGAGATATGAGAAAGACTTTGATCAGAGACACGAGAAAAAACTTATGAGAAAATGATGCTTACCCATAGAGATACACTTGCAAATCTTAATATTACTCTTTGTAGAGAATGCTTCTATCCAATAAAACTAGAAGAGAGAGAATATTGTGATAGATATCGGTCAGAAGGTGTCGAGAACTAGCCTGCAACTAGCCTGCAACTAGCTCGTTATCCATTTTTTGGGCACAGTAAATTTTAATGTTATGCAGAAACCCATTCCTAATATACTAATTTTTCGTTAGATTTATAAAATCCCCAGCAGTGTGGAATTGTTAGACAGCTCCTAAATGGCCCAGATAATTCCCTATCAGTTCCTCAAAGGTGATGATAAAGTAATAGAAAAGTAACGGAAAAGTGCCAGAGAAGTTCTCAGAACCCAAGACGCAGTAAATTAATAATAAAAATCGCATTTTTTCATTACAAAAATTGGTTAGATTAGCTATTCAGTTAGCTAGACTCCACTAAACCCGTTCTCAGCTTTGAAAAAGTTAGGACAAAAATCTCATTAGACTTATTTAACAATTATGCTATTTAATGAGCTAGCTTGTACAGAAGCCATTCTTATATATAAAAAAGTTCGTTAGATTTAAAAAGTCATAATTTTTCGTTAGACTTATGCTGGGAGAATTGGGACAAATTTTTGTTAGACTTTTTTAAACAATATACTATTTAATGAGGCAACGCGACCTGGGATAGATCCTGATATACATTTTTTTATTAGACTTATGCTAGGAAATTGGGACAAATCTTCGTTAGACTTATTGATTCAATATGTCATTTAATAAGCTAACGCGCATAGATATAGAACATGGCATACATATTTTCATTAGACTTATGATGGTGGAATTGGGACAGTTAGACTTATTTACAATTTTTTGTTAGACTTATTTATTTGATATGCCATTTAATGAGCTAACGCGCCTGAAACCGTTTCTATTATACACATTTTTTGGTTAGACTTATACTTGACGGTTAGACTTATTTATGGGATAATTAGGACGGTTAGACTTATTTTGGTTAGATTTAAATAATCAATATGCTCAATAATGAGCTAAATCGCACAGAAACAGTTCCTAATATATTAATTTTCGTTAGACTAATTTATTATATATATAAATCGATATATAATTTAGCCGGCTGGAGCTCTCAAAAGGTCTTCTAGTATAGTAGAAAAATCGATATGGATTTTTTGAGTCCCGCAGACACACAATGCCATTGTAAAAGACGGACTTCATCCTTAAACCCCACAATGACATTGTGTTATTCAGACCAGATTATTACTGAAAGAATACTCTAAAAAATAGAAGCTCAAAATAATATCATTATTTAGCATTTTATTAAAGTTGAAGACCATTTCAGTATCAGTAAAATTTGTAATAGCAAATCTATTATTCAATATACTGAATATGAACTCAATAATTTAGCCTATTAGAATTCTAAAAACCTCCCTCCTTTTTAAAAAAGAAGTTCAAACCTTTATTATCAGCCTCATATATAGATAGTATAATGCTCTTACAGCAGTTGTTATAGAAATATATACTCAAAAATATCTAGTTAAAAACAATTTTATTATGAAACAATCACCTTCAAAATACATTTTCTCATATCATTATTAGTTAAAGAGAAGACATGCCAATAGGTTACCTTATCATCAGTATGTTACTCCTTTACTGATCACTTTACAAGTTATACTAATTGCATAAGATGAGATAAACGAGAAGCTAATTAAAACCTATATAATTAATACTTCATATTAATTAAAGCTGTTTAATTTAAAATTCTAACTTTTTACATTGATAAATCTCTCATCAATCCTACTTCAAACGAATATAAAATGGGTTTCAAATGGATCTGTCTTAATCTTGTTTCAACCTCCTTTCATTCTTTTGCTACTACTATTTTTTATTCATCTTCCTTAATGAGAGTTGAGCTTTTATTCTTTTCTTTGCATTTATAATTTACCTATATTATCTTTACCATCAATTTACCTAGATAACCAAGTAATTATAGACAGATTTAATAATTTCATATCAAGAGAAAATACCACTATTAAGACATGTAAGAAGATACCTAATTACATAATTAATGTTAATCTCTTACATAATTAAAGAATTTAATCTAATAATTAACCTTATTAAAGTCATAAGAAGGAGACTTTTACAATAATAAAGCAGATAATTTGGTAAAAGAAGGCTGCTCAAAACTTTGGATTATACTATTTTTGATAACTCTAATTACATCTGAGTTTTATGAATATTCCTATAGAATCTTCTATTAAAAAATTTTGAAGAAATCTAAATACAACATCACAATTCTCATCCTTTTTCAATTTAAATAAAACTGCTTCATTAAAGTAGCTTACAAGATCATCTTTCATTAATTGACATAATTTGTTCTTAATCTTCTTAACAAATAATGATAATACAACAGCTACTACTTCTTTTACTCAGCATAAAAAAGATTTTCAAAATAAAATCTTTGGTTAAAGAACCAAATAATTGAAAATTATTGACCTAACATTCAGACATTTATAAGAATTGGCTTTATATTTTTTGCAATACAAATAAAAAAGACTATCACCATTTATGGACCTGCCTTCACAGATTGGATGATATCAAGGATATTTGCAATCAATATTCAACTTCTTAAATAATTTAATCTTGTTTGAAATTGAAAAAAAAATAAAAAGAGACACTTAGATTATTTCTTAATACATTAGCAGATTTCTGATCTTCTAAATCCTTCTATCAACCTTCAGTCCTGTATTTCTCTAGTTAAAGGAATTATTCCTTCCAATATCTTTACTCTATTAAGGAATATATTTTATCCTAACAATTCAAAGACTTTACCAATTTTTTGATCTCAACCTTTCATAATCAGATTTGGATTACACATTACAATAAAATGATCGAGATTAAGCGATCTAAGAGGATCACGCTAAAACTAAAAAAAAGCAAATTGAAATGTCTGTTTATTTCAAAATTAACCAACATGCCTCGGGTACTTGAAAAGTATGGTGTAAGCTAACATTAAAATCTGACTTCTCCTGGACAGATTTTTAGAACAGTACTGATATTATCATTTGAATTTCCTGCTGATAATTTACGCATTAAATATGGATTTTTTGAGTTTCATTATTGACATAATTGCATCAATTTTATTACCAGTACAACACCGATCATCATCTTTAATCGATTGGTTTAGCAGAATAGCAGAACATTTCAAGGATGATTCATTCCTGTTAAAACAAGCAATATAGTAAGCAATGACTAACAGCAGGTATTATGTAATTTCAAAACCATTTTCAACTTGCCATTTATATCTCATAAATGTTTTATCTTTAAACAACATCTGAAGATATGAGAAATAAATGTAATTATGTAGTTATACTCAGTTTGATCTTCCTTAAGGCAATTCCTTCCATCTGGAAACTGTTTTCAGCTATAAAAATATAGAAAATTCATTAGCATAAATTTGATTAAACAACATCTACATAGGATACATATAAGATCTTCATCAGTTGCAAAGTCCGCTTCTTCTATTTTGTATTGCCATCTCTCAATAGATTTGTCTTGACAGTATTACGCAATTTTTCTAATGAAGTAGACATTATAAATAAACAAGCTTAATTTGTTTCTTTGAAAAAGTGCTTACTTACTACATTCTTCGAGATATCATTTAGATATTGTTTTATTTCTTCTGCCTGACCATGTTCAGTATTTTGGTCAGCTAAAACTGAAGTAGAGAAAGAAGGTGAAGGTGAAGTGAAAGCAGACATCAAAAATCCTTCTATATTGCTGATTATATCGTCCTAATTTTCCTTGAAGATCTTTCATATCTCCATCGCAGATGTACTTGTTGCATCTAAAATATTAGGCTGTAAAGAAAAGTTTTCAGCATCTAGGATATATATACCAATGGAGTAATTTCAAAAAATGTACATACTCTTGTTTATGTACTTCTTCAATGTATCTTGATGAGTGATGCCATTGCTTCATTTTTGATTTAACACACATATCTTGACAATTAGTTTGCAATCGATGATGATATCAACAGGAATTTTATTAGAAGATCATCTTCAGAAGTACCATCTTTCGGATTATGTCTTTGGAAATATTATCATGAGCCTGAGTTTGTTCATTGTCCTAAAATAATATGCATCTATCAAATTTCACAGCTATAGCAAAAAAGCGCATCTGTACCTTTTTCTAATCCTTCACTGAATCAAAGAACTGAACACTGTCATCGCTCTGTTGTAATTCATATTCATAATACATAAATGTCAAAAAGGCTTAATAAGACATCATTGTGAGCTAGAATATTATTACCTCCTGAAAAGCTCTTGAAAAACCTGACAATTTAATTTGATGTGGTGGAGTACGTGGTAGTTAATCTTATTTACGTTAGAAGTAATGGTTTATTTTGTCCTTTTTTATGGGAAATCTCACCCGGTTTGTTCGTCTTAAAGTATTAAATACAAAATAATTGGTTTCACTGATTCTCAACTTTTAGCTATGCAAGTCACGTAATACATACATGCTTTGTATCATCATCTTCTAAAGCATCTATTTCCCAAAATCTCTTACGTGTTTTCTCATTCTGAGCTGCTGTCTAACTAACCTATTTAGTATCAGTATATTTATTTCATTTTGGTGAATTCATCTCAATGCCTTAATACCACACATATGTTTCAACTAACCTGAGATAATGAGTCCTGAGCTATAATCAATTTCTCACGTCCTATGAAATTTTCAAGTTCCCGTTGATTCCATCATTTAGAAATGTTATTTGAAATATTTTTCTTAGAATAAAAAAAAGTTAAATACATTATAACGACCAAATCTGAAAATGGCAAGCAGTTGTAAACTAAAGAGCGACTACTCAATACGAGCTGGCCAATTTTCTCTTAAGCCCACAGTGAAAGGGATGTCCTAAAGCACAAACTTCCAATTACGGGCTTGTTTGGTTACAACCTCAACCACGTGCTCAAGGCGACCACTCAACATGAGCTGGCCGATTGTTCTCTCAAACCTGCAGCAAAAGAGATGCCTTGAAGCCCAAACTTCCCACCACAGGCCTGTTCGATTGTAGCATTCATACTCATTCTTATAAATAAGAACATAAACACACTCATCAAATTTTACCAAGAGAAATCACTTTATTCATCGCAGCTAAAGCGTAAGATCGCAAATCATCATCATCGGTTGTGATTTGCATGAAGTTGTCTAGAAATCTATTGCAATTGGAAACGATTACATCTAACATTTTCAGGAAATGATTATGCCATTTCATTTTCGATCTTGAAATACTCTGCTTCCAGTGAACAGATCCTCACCATTTTTGTTCAGCCACAAAAGAAAATCATTTTCTTTCCATTTATGTGGCTTCGTATTCATGAAGTACTTGAAGTTTTCTGCAAATACAAATGTGAGGCAAAGTTTAAAGTAAAACATTTAAAACTTTTGACTTACAGAAAGAGTTACTCAGAAACATTTTTTTTAGGGTCGGTCATTATTTAGGTTTGATTTAGAAGCTTGCTTTTTTTTGAAATTGTCATTATATATCAGATCTGGTTGTCCGTCAGATATATCTTACCCATTGTCTGAGTGTCCGATTATCTAATTGTCCAATTGTTCTAATTGTTTTGATCAAACTTAAAAAAAAAGATTTTTTTTTTGCGATTATCATTTTTTGAAAAAATCGTTTTGATTAAAGCAATACAAACTTTCGATACCAATACTATCAGATTTATTAAACGATTATATTTTTAAAACTAACGAAAGATTCAATCAGAAATAATCTTAAACTGTATTGTAAATATTATATTAATGTATTAGGAGAGAAGAGAGTGTATTTGATTGGTTAATTTGTGATCTGTCTCTGAACTACTAATACATTTCAGGAAACTATTTTTATAGATCAATTATCCCTTTAAATAACTTTTGGGCAAATTATCCCAGAATTTTGATAGTTTGATAGACACATACTTAAAAGTAACCAACTAAAAGTAGTGTAACCAGTTGCTTAGGTTTGATAATAATTTTTATATAATGCTGGATTCTGGCCTTTAAAAACGCTTGCAATTACTCAATTATGAAATTGCAACAATTACAAAAATGATATTTTTTATTAAAATATTATTTCAGAAGTTAGTAATTAACGATTTTTAAAATTATAAACAAAAAAAAAAAACTAGTTTAGCTTGTTATGCCATATTTTGCTTATATTGAGTAGCATATCTAGATATCCAATTTTGAATTGTTGATACTTTCAGAATATCAGTTTCTTCTAACTACTCTTTTCTGCTAATTTTATAAGTTCATTCTATATTTTTCTATATCTATCACTCTTATCTAAATTTTCTGTTAAAAAGTATCCTTCTAGAAGGGCTATAATATGCTTGCTAATTCTTTTACCACCTCCTTTTTTCTGAATTTCTGGTTTTCCTTTAATGCTCAACCTAACTTAAGCGGAAATTATTTATGTACAATGGGGTATCAAAAGTCACCGGGCATTTAAAATTAGAAAATTGACAAAAGAAGCTATTTCAAATTAAACTTTTTATTTATTAATTAAATCAATAGATATCTGATCAGTAGTAAAATTTATATTATATATTAAATGCAACATTTTCGTGTATTAATACAAGATTTTAGTTATAATAAAACATTGAATTTTTATTTATTGTATTAAAAATATTTTTTCTTTAATGAGCTTTAATTTTTTGTATTTATATATGTGGAGATTGAATCGATACAGTCACACATTATGTGAAATGCTAATCTTTTTAGAATTTACCAAAATTTACACTTTATCAATTCAATTTCCATTAATATAAATGTAGCAGATTCTTTTCTAATCGAGACAGAACTGAGGGAATAGTTTCTGATACAATGAATATAAGTATATCTGTAGCTTCATTTGTGAGTAAATCTTTTTGAACTGTATCAGAGAACTCTTCAATATCACCTATACCAGAATTATGAAATTTAGTTATGATTTTAGAATAGTTGAGAATATACTAATAAATAGAATAGCTTTTTGCTTAAGTTGTAAATTAATTTATTTATAAGTTTATAAACGTTTTTGTGAATTTCAGTATTATAAATAAAGAAATTAATTTAAATCTACACAAAATTACTTTTTCTTTCAATGTTGTCCCTTATCTAGAATTTGTTATACAGCAGTATTCTAGGATATATTAATATATTAATATGTTCTAGAATACTGCTTGTTCAAAACTAATATGTCTTAAGATATTATAATCTATTAATTAATTTGTCCTAGGATGTTATAGTCTATCAATTAATATGTCCTAGGATATTATAGTCTATCAATTAATATGACCTAAGATATTATAATCTATTGATTAATATGTTCTAAAGATGGGGTCTATTTTTCTTCTCTGTGACCTGTTGGTTAGTAAATATAGATGGGTATACGTCTGTTTGCTTGCCTTTCTAGATGTCAAAATATGGTAAAAAAATATTGTGTCAGGTGGTGCAGTAAATTTGCGTTTAATTTCAGCTGACACTATTGCCATAATTTCAACTGATCTTTAGGACACGTGATTTGAGGATCCAACTCAGCGTCATGATAGTGTCATAGTAGTGACCTGAAACTGTTATAGAACTGGTGAGGAACTGGTAAGATGCTAGTGTAGTTCTATTAATTCGCCAGTTTTAGACCTCTTATATGTCAGCTTGGATGCTGAGTTCTTATGCCCAAAGTTCTGGCTGAAATTATGAAATAATGCTAACCAAAATTAACGAAATTTACTACGCCTTACTGCGTCATGATCACATGTTTGATTCCTCGCCAGTTCCAGACACTTTTCCATTATTTTCAAGTAACTTTTGAGTAACTTTTGAGGGCCTGGTTTGGTAGTCAGTTGGTTAGAAGATCAGAGGTGTATATTAATCAGCCCATATATTTTCCTTCTTGATTGCCAATCTCTTAATTGCCATATGAAACATGAAGTGCTAAATTTGCAATCTATCTATTTGTTGAAGATGTGTTATAATCTATTCACCCACTTTTTGATTACTGGTGAGGCACAAAGTGCTGATGTTGTGTCATTCTTGCAATCTCATCCATGACTATTTTGATTGTTGAGGATGAGACACGAAGTGCTGAATTAGTTCAGGCTATATTGCTTTCATACTTTTTTTCATGTATTCTCCTGAATTTTTCTGCCTTTCTGATCTCTTTCCTGCCTATTGGCGGTAGTATCCAAAAGCATAATTTCTTATTTTATTTCTATATAATTATACCTTTAGATATTACCAAATTTATACCCTAGTTTTCGCCCGAGCCTTCCTAGAATTCTTTCTCGTATAGTTACTATACTAGGATACTTTAGAGTACTACTACATCGATTATTTTTAGGCATTATTATATTGATTACTTTTGGGTACTACCACTAACCCAGTGTTTTACTAATAAGCATATTCACTCAAATTTTTATTTTGAAGATTTACAAGTTTCTATGTAATTTTATACTGCTTTCTTGCATATATACTATGCTACTTGCGCAAAAAAAAATGGCTTAAAAAATATATAAAAACTTTACAATAAACTTTCTAGGTATTTCAATGATTCATCTGGGGCAGATATAGGATCATTGGATAAGTACTCTTAGCTAAAATTGCCACACCTCCGCTAGAATACTTATAATATTATTTATATATTTTTTCTCGTGTAATAATACTGGCTAACTTCAATTTCTATCTTCGAACTTCTGACCTCTGATCATATAACCCGGCCTCAGATATGCCCAGAGGTGTAAATCGTTAGTCTGAATGTATCAGTCACTTTTTTCTTTCAGCTTGGCACTCCATGAATTCCCTATTTTTTTTCTGACTACGAACCATATAATTGCAATAAGTAATAAGGTAAGTATGGAATATATTAACATAGGCGACATTAAGGAGTCCGCAACAATAGGAATGACTAGTGCTAGAGGTATTGCTTGGACTGATGATACTGCTTCTGTGCCACCTGATTGCTTCGCAATCCCTTCTCTTGAAATAATTTTTTCAGAATATGCTGGTCGATTATGAATAGATTGATTAGGTAGGGTAACTGCCTGATTTCTCAAAATTATCTTATCCTGGGGTAATAGTTCTTGCAAAGCCTCTAATATATGTTTCCTGACAAAACTTTTATCGAATTCCATAACCTTATCTTCAAGACCGTACTTATAGACGAGGGATCTTAAATCATCACTGAGTCAACCTGGTAGTTTTTGTGATGAATCGTTCATAGACAGGAATGGAGGATCTACTTCATTATCCTTCTTTGACACTAACTCTCGAAGACGAAAATTTTCCTCTATTAAATTTAATCACGTTGAAGACAAAGCATCTCTTTCCTAACTGGTTATTTCATGTGTCACTTCTATCCCTTTTTCTATACATTCTATTTCATGTTTTTTTGAATTAAATCCTCCTTTACCTGTTCCAATTCAAGCCTGAGAGAATCAATCTCTTTGGGTTTGAATGAGTTTATTTGGGCCAGCTCCTTTATCATCCCTCTCACTGCATTTGAATCATTAAACACCAGATCCAGTTTCAAGTTCTACAACTTACCTTCCAATTCAACTATTTTAGTTTTAAGAAAAAGAATCTTGACCTTGTCAACGAATGAAGCTTTTTAGACCAAAGTTGCCTCTCTTTTCAGAGTTTTAATATTTGATTTAAGCGATTTGATTTTGGCAGTATATTTGGCTTCAGTTCACGTTAACTCTCAGAATGAGACTTCCGTTCAGAAATAAGTTGGAATATAACTTTAGCGCTAGACACATTTAACTGGTTAATCTTATTTCCAATATCCTCTTCTCGCTCTGAATACTTCAAATTTTCAGCCTATAACTTTTCATTGAAGTTGATAATTTCAGAGTTAAAATCAATAGCAGTTCTTAATTTTTTTTCGAGCTCTTGCTCATATATACTACTCAGCTGATGTTCTCTATCTTTTATATCCTTCAATGTATGCACATTAGACATAATCTTGGCATGGTTATATAGCAGGAAAAAAATATGCATAACTAAATTTCATCCATAAAACATCTTTTATTTTTTCTTGTTAAAATAAAAAATTAAATATCCTTTATTGAAAAACATCAGTTTTCATCATTTTTTATCATTTTTTATTGGTTTTTATTGTTTTTTATTGTTCAAAAACCATAAATATTGTTTTTATTGTTCAAAAAAGATAAATATTATTTTTTATCGTTTTAAAATATTGTTAGAAAATACTGGAGGAATTATGCTTAGCCGATTTTTAAAAAC